CCATGTACTTGGGAAGACCAGCCTGCTCTTGAGGCAAGTGGCCCAGGTTGTCATGTCTAGGGGAAACGCCCCCGCCCAAAAAATCCAAAAAACTGATGCAAAGATCCAAAATTCACCTTTGCCAATATGCCGCCTAGTGTTCTCAATGGTGGAGTTGCGGTTAACGTTCGAAAGCAGCCCCAGGCAAAATCTGTTCTTGTTGTTTGAAGGATCAGTGAAGCCATCCACCAGGACACTGGTGGAAGAAGCGTGGAATGCCTCCCCGACGCGATTATTCAGCTCATAGTAGACAATGGAGCACCAATGCTTCGGCTCTTCGTAAGCAACTGCCTGAACATCTGTAAAGCAACAATGGAAACATTACAATCTAACGGCGCTGGAATACAGGCTCGAGATGTAAAGATTCATAAACCTGCAGATTTTGGCTGAAGATCACTGACAGATGAGCCGGATAAGCAATTGCAGCTAAGTGAAGGCTCTTCTATCTTCAGTTATTTTTGAACTTTTCATAGCCACAGACATACAATAGAATAATTTCACCTCAACTTTACTTGCGCAAGACTCACAAGAGAAAGGTTGGCACTAGACATCAACAGAAAAGTGCAGGAAGCTCCTGGGCACATACCAAGCAGTGCCCCAATATCCCTGCCGCATTTTTGACAACACACTACGGTGCGGGCCCAAACAGCAGAGAAACGCTGCAATTACACAGCTCAGCTTTCTCTCCAATGTAGTAAATGAACTTCTACTTCAGCTCATTTTACTCAGCTACCAAATTACACATCACCTCTGTGCTTACTGCAAAGTATACAACTTTGACAGGGAGAAACAGCATCACACAATTGCCATTTGTAACTTTGGGTACCAAGAAGTATAGCAAGGTAGCTTAAATACACAGTCAGCAGATCAATCTTTCAGCATTCAGGGTGTGCACAAATCTTTCTCCAGGGCTTCTTGGGGGATGGGTAGGAGACTTGAAAAACTAAGAGAGATTGACATTTGTCTGCAGAACGTGCATGAAGCATATCTTCAATATGAATAGATACTGCTTGGGATCAGAGGCTGAACAAGAGCATAATGCGCAGGATCCTAACAATTATGCTGGGCTAAAGAGCAGATGAAATGGAGGAAGATATTATTTAATGAGAACTTTTTATTCATCAAGTGCTACCAAATGCAAAATCTGCAACTGTTCATCACCAAAAGAATTACTTGTTGAGTAATAGCAAGGATTTCTTAGAACGTGGTTTTCCAGACTCTGGTAACAAGAAGCTCCTCCTCAGCAGCTCCTAACTGAAGCTGGGAATTGTGCAGAATGCCAACAGCAAATTCCTGGTTCACGACTTCTACCCATCAAGCTCTAGAAACACATGGAAGTCTTGAGGTAACACTTGTGACTGTGCACAGGGAACAATTTCTCCAGATGATACCAAAGGTCTTTACCAAAAAGAGTTTCCCAGTGGATGTCCAACAAGAGGATAGGCTTCTTCAGATATCTCCACCCCGTGCGCATTCTTTCAAGTGCCAAATACCACTACAAATTATTAAACTGCCTCCAAATAAAAGGAGGCTACTGAAGGCATGTTGTTGCTTTATGTGGTTTCTTTTAAATGAAGGAGACTATTTCACTGCTAAGCCTAGCACAGTTGGACTGGCTGCTAAGATATCAACTTTGCAGATTAAAGCTCCAACTACAGGTCAAAGCGCTAAAATGAAAATCAGACTGGTATTGCGGGAAAACTTGTTTCTCTGGCCAGAGGTTTCCTTCTCCCAGCCCCAAGTCTTTACTGAAATCAGCCAACTAGGACCAGTGTTCGTATTTTCCTCTGTTCACAAATCATACCGCTATGAGTTTTCTGACACATGCAAAACAAAAAACAAAAAGTCCCCCCCAAATCAGCAGTACATAGCAGATACAAAAGGTGGCAAATAATCAAAAGCAGGATAACACATCCTACATCACTGTGCAAAACTTCTGAGCATAGTGTCTACTGCTGACCAATAACTTGCTTAAAACACTGGTAAAAAGGAGCTGATCTTTCCTGATACACTAGCATTTTCATGTCACTGTAAAAAACCCAATAAAAAATAATTTAAAAAAAATCAGTCATTAATTATTAGTAAGAGGTTTCTACACTTTTAATTCCCATGAAGATGCCAGCAATTATCAAAGCTGCAGCTTTGCCCCAGTTCTCAAAGTCAGGAAGAAATCTTGCCAGCTGGCCATTCTTACAGAATGAATCATATCTCTCTCACACAGATTTCATACTAACTTCCTCACATTTGCTTTAAGTCATGCAGAGCAGGTGCGTTTAGTCTCTCTATTCCCAGCATGGGCCAACAATGGAAATTACCCAACTTCATTGACAGGATGCAGCTTGTTAAATCAAATCTCTTAAGACTAACAAATCACCATGAAGAACATGCTTCTAAAAAGTCTGCAACAAAAATGCTGCAGTAAGTTCACAGTAAAAACTCTTCTTTTACAACCTGCAGCAGATTTTTTTAAAGTAGTGCAATTACAGCATACATATGCTAATAATAAACACATGAAGGCACACAGAAGTAAGGTATCTGGTTTTTTGGGTTTGTTTTTTTTTTAATGAAGGGACAGAGATGAAAATCCATTGTACTAAATTACTAGGAGGGAAAAATACTAATAGACACAATTTTTATTTTGAAATGGTTTAACTTTGAAAAGCAAGAAGAAAAATGTAAACCCTTTTCTCTTTATCAACTCTCATGTAATAGAGGAATTCTACCGTACTCGTGTATTTTGTGAGAGGGACAAACATGCAAAGGTCTGCAGTTAGGCATAAACATTGATAGATGTACTTTGGGCCAGCAAGGACTATACATACATACAGAGCGTACTGGATCAGCAAAAAGTGGAATTGCTACAGATGGGGTTTATCACCTGCAAAACTCATTCCACACAGAGAGTAAATAGGTTAGCACAAAAGCTATCCAAATTGTTCTAAGAGCGCAAATATACTTCCTGCAACCAGACATTAAGCTTAGCAACAAAACAAGTGGGAAAAAAAAAAAAGGCAAAAACAACAAAAAAACCCCAAGCAACAGTTAAATTGTTCATACGCTTGTGATCTTGATAATCATTCTGGCACAGCATCCAGCTTGCTGCTCTTTCTTGGCATGGGCCACAACTGTGTAAGCTTATGCGTTCTCTAAAGGGGCTATTTCTCACAATGTGATGAATGCACTAAATCCTTTACTCAGCAGTCACGGCTGGCTGCAAAGGCTTTAAAAAGCAATGTGTAAAAAGATGTCTGTGTCATAGTACATAAAGCAATAGGGTTTTTTTTAATACAGATTTTAAAGTCTATAGCAATGCCACACCGCAGGCAGACAGCTCTGAATTCCGAACCAAGTGCTATCACTGCATGACTCAGAACAAAAATGGGGAGAGAGGGTGGAACAACATAAAATACGAAAAAAACTCAAATGCCCTTATGACGAGGAGAAGGGTAAATTATTATAAGCAGAGCATACTCTTTAAGGACTAACGTTTAGAATTCAGGACAAAAACATAATAAGAAAAGACAATTTTATGAGATGTACCGTCTCAGAGGAAACAATATAGGTATTCCAGTTGCCCATGTAAAATGACTCTGGGCATTTACATAACTGACAGCATTAGCATCCATCCTCTGATCAAGTCTTTGCTTGGAGAGCGATACTTGACCATATCTACTGTCATCCACAATTCAGTAGGCTTTATATAGCATTAACTGCATTGTTCCAATAAATCAATGTAATCGTAAGAGAGAAAGAGATTCCTTTCCTTGCACACATGTAATTTCAGCATCGCACACAGAAATGTGCAGCATCGTAGGAATTCTTTCTGTTTGGTGATTAGTGGAAGTTCCAGATACAAAACATAAAATGACTTTGGTCGTTGAGTTGGTTGGGAGTAAGAAAGTAGTAAACCCCATACATTTTACATTTTTAGAGAGTCATGTGATAGCTTGTTGTCCTAAATAAATATTTACATTTATAAATTTTTATCTCCTGATTTGCTATTTCATCCCTTACAACAACAGAAAAAAATTACATGGCTGGTTTTTTTTTTTCTTTTCTACAGCTAAAAATTTCCGTAAACAACATCCAAAATTAAAACTCAATTATTAAAAGTATGTTCTGAAAGTTCTTTACTCTTAAGAAGCAAAGCAGAAGACGAGAAGGAAGTGGTTTTACCTCCTCTGTGTATGTCAGGGGGAATTGCAGGTGCCATCATGTTGGTATCCATTGGCTGGGAGGTATCGTGTGTCATCTGATCTTCCGGAGGCAGGTAAGCAGGAGGGGGAGTATCAGCTAAATATAGAAAAGGCAGAGATACACAAGTCCTTTCCTCTCTTTGAAGTATATATACATATCCACATAAACAGTTTTAGCCTGGAAATGCTTCCAGCCTGACTCAGCTATAAACTTCCACCCACCAGAAATCTGAGAAAGCAATCATGGACCTTGAATCAGGAAAGCAAAGAATTACTGTGCATATTAAGCACAACTGCAATAAAAACAAGTCACTTCCCCCCCACCAAGCCACAAAAGAAAGCTCAGCTATGTTTCCAGCCCACGTTTTTTGCAGGTTGAAAGTGCCATATGGACATTAAGGCACAAAGAGGTCTCAGGACCAGGCCAGAAGTAGGTATCGAATATGGCAAACGTGAAGAGAAGTTGGAGCAGAAAATTTTCAGTTCAAACTTTTCAGTTTCCAACATGATTCTATCAGCAAAGTATGCAAACGTCCCAGATATATCCAGGACCTTATTATTGTCATTGCAAAGTATTAGCTCTATTTCCCTAGATCGGGAACAGTAGAAAGTGTTCAGGAACCCAAATTCTACAGAAGTAGCCACGTGGGTCTGGAATTTATCTGTCAGTGTCTCTTACTGGCTGTACTGCCCCATTTAGGACTGAATCACTAGCATAAAACTAGCCCATGCACAACGACTGTACTCACTAACACACTGCTTTCAGCCCCGTTTGAAGCGTCCCAGCCAGGTACTCGTGTTGCCCTTCGGCTGCCTATTTCGCTTCTGGGAAAGCTTCCCAAATGGCTTCTTAGAAGCTGCAGGAAGTTGCCAATGTCACCATTTCCCAATACACCAGAGGACACTCTCCAAATCAATTGCACTGAGGTACATGCAAAAGAGAAATCCTTGCATGATCCCTGCAAGCTTTCGCTGCAAAAGCTGAGATTAGATTACCACTGTACTATCTGTGGTGAATTCAGCTGCTGCTCGTCCCACATTTGCTTCCATTACTGAGAGCATGGATTGCAAACTTCCACAGCAAATAATCACAGGGGCCTCCAAAACCCTGAAAACCAAATTAGCATCACCAAAAGGCAGGAGAATCATACCACTGCTTTGTAAGTTTTGATGGGGTTTTTTTTGTTGTTTTGTTGGGGGGGTTTTGTTGGGTTTGTTTTTGTTTTTTTGGGGGGGTTTTTTTGAAGAAAACACATGTTAATGAAATCTATTAACTGCTTATTGTTTAGGAGGCATTCTGTTGAGAGCTTTACATCTGATGCTGGCAGGTACCTTACTAATTCCCTTACTGGATACCCTCAGTTGGACGAGAGAGCGGCAGAGAGACAGAGATGACCACAGGACTGCATTAAAAGCTTAACAGTCTGCACTGGAGTTTAAGTCTCGTGTTTTACTAAGCCTTAAATGTTCATGTGTGTGCAAACATGATGTTAGTGATACACAGGTAGGGAAACAAGATTGTAAGGCCACAGGCAACAAATTAGCCAGTATCTAGAAAGTTTTCAAGATGTCTGGATAACTGTTCTGCTCCTTTTTTCGTATATTCCAAAAGTCAGCCTCTTTCCCCATTAGTGCAAGACAGACAACTGTCCAGAGCTAAGCATCAAGGACATCAGTATCTTGACCTCTCCTCTAATTCAATTTCTTCACTGCAGCTGCTGACTTGCCTTTACGGGCATGTGGACAGAACAGACCCTCAAAGATCAAGCAAAATTCCACAAGCCAGTGTTCAGGGAAGCCTTTATCTCTGCTGGAAGAGCCCCAACCACACCAATCATATTAAAAAAGAAAAAAGAAAAAAGAAAAAAAGAAGGAAAGACAGCTGGTTTTGCGGCCACTTTTCACATTTTTTTAAAAAAGCCAATAAAAACTCCCTTTCCTTCCCTCCTGCCTCGGCAAATTCAGTAGTCTTCACTCACAAGAGAAAAATTTTAAAGAGAAACAACTATCAGCAGCAGAAATCTATGGATGCTAATTTCATGTAATAGAAAACAGACTTTCACAAGTCTGCTGCTTTGTTTACACATGCCTGCCCTCAGCCCCCGAAGAAAACGTGCAAACAGAACATCAGTAAGCATTTGTATGGAGTCCTTCTAGCATTTAGATCAAGAAATCTGTCACAGACTGCTTCTGCAGTATTTTTATCCATCCACATGTAAAGACCAAAAAAAGACAGCTTCACAGAATTTTCTACGGACATTAGTCAACAAAGAAAGGTTGTCACTTCTTTGACTTTAGGAAGTAAAACAGCCTGAATATTTCTTTTCAGGGCCTTAAGGAACTGTTTTTCAGTTGAAGTATATTTGTTTCTTGAAATTACATCATTATGGGAAGAAATTTTAACAAGTAGCAATAGCGTGATCCCCTTGAGAAACATCCTTCTTCTGCAGAACTAAAGCCTTGTGCTGAATTTATGATGATCTCTTTCCTAAGCAAGGATGATCTGTAGCATTACACCTCTTGTGTATTAAACACTATGCTTTGTGGGCTAAACTGTTGAACTGGTCCGCAAAACATTTTGAACCTCTCCCCCTGCCCCAGAAGAGTTTTACTGGAATGTTTTAACTGTGTTTGAAAGAGGCGTGCTTTTAAAACCCTCAATATTATTACTAGATAAAGCGATTACATAGTCTTTATTACCTTACATCTCTCAGATCACTATTGAACACAAGTGTTGGCTGATAATTCGGTATTATTAAGCAAAAAAATCATGATACCAGTGATGTCCAACCACTGCCTCCCTTCTGACGAAGAACCAAAGTTGACTGTACCTGGCATCTGGAAAGGACTTCCTGGGTCTGAGCTGGCTGGAGAATGTGGGTAGGTGCTACTGCTGCTTCCAGGTGAGTTTGGATAGCTGCTGTTGGGCGAGTGGGGGAACGGGTGACTATTGGGTTGCTGAAAAGAGTCCGGGAAAGTAGCATTGTGCGGCATGTGGGGCTCGTTTTGTCCCAGGTTGCGGAATTGGGCCAAGAGGCTGTGCTGAGGGTTGTACTCGCTGTGCCTCGGAACCAGCACCGGAGGGAGGACTGGAAAGGGAGAAAGAGGGAAAAGCCACAGTGTTAGAGACTCAGTTCTGAAGGACTAGGCTATACAGGGGAAAAAAAATGCATTATTTGTCCCCTAGGGCATATTCACAGCTGTCTTAAAAACAAGGTAGTCAAATCTAGGAGCACATGTCTAAGCAAGAACTCTTTTCCTTATATCCAGTTACTGCATAGCTTGAATTCATAGCGATTGTGCTAGCTACCTGGTTTGCCAGATGGGAGCTTGTTTTCACAGACGGCCAGTGAAGAAGAGCCAAGAACAAACCGCAATTCTGCATTTTAGTTTTATTCGCACAAAGAAATGCTGGGAAGTAAGCGCGTTACAATGCTGACATGCAGTTCGTTTTGCTGCACTTGTGATCCAACTAATCACGTAATGGCCTGTAACCCAAAACCTTGCTAATAAGGACAGATATTTTTTCTGAAGACAATACTAATACTAACAGGCCTTGAACTCAGTCTGGTCCCAACAGCTGTAATTTTATTTTTAACCTGGACTATGTTCTTACAAGTTAGTATTAAAACAGTTATTAACTCTTCAAGTCAGTTTACAAAATGTGCAATTTAAACAAAATTATGTAGTTCAAAAAAACCAACTGAGCAGCAACTGAGCTCCAACTATATGCTACTATGGGATCAGAGAAACACACATCAGAAACTACTAGTCTTGCCACACTCCCAAGGCCCCCTCACCAGCAGGGAAACAAAGGTCTCTTTTTAACTGGGAATATGAACATGATACCAGATACACTAAGATAAAAGAATCAGCTCTTTTTCCAGTGCCTCAGCTTCTATCTTTGAATGCCTCGCAGCAAAGTCCAAGCTACTCAAAGGATTAAAAGCTAGTCTTGTTATAGATTGAGATTTTTGGGTGATGGGGGGAAGAGGAGAGGCAAGGGCAAGGAGAAGGAGATCCGTGCACAAAGTAGTGGAAGTGAAATAAAAAAGTTACTCCTCTCCACATCTGCCCCCGTTCAGCACCTCCATTTCCCAGCTCCATGGCTGAGCAGGACTGGAAGAAACCCCCCAGGATAGCCTGTCTTCAAGGGAGGGTGCCGAAAAAAACACAAAAACCAGCGAAAGCAAGCCAGGCTACCATCTCCTCGCCCCAAGACTCCTGCCCTGTCCCCAACACCTCGTGGCACACAGAAGAGGAACAGGAGCATGCATACACGACAAGCCTATACAGACATAACTATCACTCAGATTAAGAAAGGTGTTTCGGAGACAGCTGTTTCACCAAAAGGCTGAATTGCAAACTAATTGAAAAAAAAAACAAAACCCCACATCATCTTGCCAAGACAAACAGGTTCTTCCAAGACACTAGGGCATCTGTAATCTTCCAGCACTTTGCTTGTACAGAAACATTCAGATACTTATGTGAGCGTCCGAGAGTACCACGACACCGCTCAACACATAGACCAGGCTTGAGGTCTAGGTCCATGTTTAAAACGAATACAAAAGGATGCCACACACAAAACTCACTCTCTATTCCTAAAGCAAGTCACAGATTTACTAAAAAAAAAAAAAAAAAAAAAAAGAAGGTTTCCCTTGCTCTTTTTTTTGGCTTATGTCTAAGAGAGAAATTAAGCCACCAGATTTCTGCCCACTAGTGGCATTAATGCATGAAAAGTTTGATCCCAGAAATCTTCATTGAACATACACTGGGAAAAAAAAAAACCTCACTACTGAAATTAAGGCTGCCTGTTAAGAGTCAGAAGCAGGTTTTAAAGATTCAATCTGATGTCTCACTTTCTTAGAGCAGCTTCCCTGAGATTCCAACAGATCTCAAATATTTGAGGCAGATGTCACCCCTAAGTAGATTTGTTTAGATGTGAAAATTTTAACTAACTCCACTTTATAAGGAATATACGAAGTTCCTAGTTATGGCATTTTCTGCAACAAAATACATCCATCTGCCATTCTATGGAAGTTCTCAATTGCAAAACACCCCAGGAGAAGCTGCATCTCCCTTGGCTGTGCAGACTGTCCCTTGCCTCTAACGCAACCATTCTCACATGTCACTGGAAAAAGCCATTAAAAAAAAAAAAAAAAGTTACTCAGCATTCAGGTGGCCATCACAAATCCCCTCATTCACAACACAGCAAGCATCAAACCCGATCTTTCTGAATATTAGGATCTCTCAGAATTAAGCTTGTTCCAATGAGATAATGTGTTAAAAAGTATTTTCCCTTTCCTGTCTTTATGATTCTTCTTTACTTTTCCGAGAATTAAAAACACAGCTTTCCTATCCCTTCCTTTCCTATGGATGAAGGTCAAACCATTAACTTTTCTGAAGTTAATTTGTGCAGAAAGTACATCACCTACCTTTCCCATCCCCTACCTCACATTAAACAATGACACACACATGAGATCACAGGAAGCCACGTGATTTATAGCATTTTAAAATAGCAGGAGAACAGGATATTTTCTGTATGTTTTCTGTAATAAAAATAAAGCTGTGCCAGATTTTCCCAAGGTATATACGCATGTTTTCTCCTGTTGGGCAGAATTGCTGGTGAATTTTAGAAGGACTTGAAATAAGAACAAGTCTCCTCTTCCTAGCTCTCCCTCACTCAAACCTACGCTTTTTGTCTAACTACTTCAACCTCAAATGATTAAATGCCAACTTCTTCAAAATACACATGGAAAAGGGGGAAGGGGGAAAAAGAATACAACTGGTATTGATACAGCACAAATAGTCTCAAAAATATCACTGCAGAATTTACCCTAATTGCCCCTAATTCACATCCTCCCTCCATACATACAACCTTAAATGAGGAGGAAAAGCCCTGAAAAGCCACGTCAGGTGGGACAGAGACTACAGCGCTCCAATTAGGCCAACTCCAAGACAGTCACTCACTGCCATAACCTGATCTCTCTGCAGCTCACGGGCTTTTTTGCAGGCTAGCTGCTCCTACCAGAGTCACAGAGGAGTTAATCTGAACGCTGTTCACTCAGGAGTGAAGACATGAGCAGAGACCAGGCCCTTCGCAAGTATGGAAGGATGCCAGGAGTTCAAAACGTAAAGGGGGATGCATACCCTTCTTGCTCCCCTCGCCCCTGTGTAAGGCACTGAGCTTCTGGTCAGCTTGCAGACCTCAACCACATGGAATAACAAATTACTGAGGCTCAGTACAGCAGGGGAGGAGGTTGATCTCTGTTGCAGCTGCCAGCTCCAGGAAGAGGTATAATTGAAGGGGAGAAAGCATGAGAGAGTTATTCTGTGCTAAGCCAGCACACCTGTTGCTATAAAATAATGAAGCAGAGCACATCTTTGCTGTGCAGATCTCTGCCAGGACGCTGCTCTAACAGTCTGCAGGCAGA